TGCATTGTTTTTGTTTTCTTTTTAAATTTTTGCATTTTTTCCAGAATATTTCAAAATTAAATGCATAATATCAGGTATTCATAAAATTTACTTTATATTTATAAAAAAAAAAGAAAATCATTACTAAGTAAAGAATTGAATTTAAATTATTTATATAGAGTATTTATAATTATTTAATAAATTATCAAGTTCCATTTTAAATAAAAATTCCTAGGGAAAGTATAATAGTTTTTAAATTTAGTGAACTTAGTGAAGATTAAAGCACTTTAATTAATTTAAGATTTAATTGAAAAATTATTATATAGTAATTAAAAACATTTAATTAAGTTCTATTAAAAGTTATTTAAGAATTCAAGAAATCTAATTTCATTTAAGGATTAAGAATTTAATAAAAATTAATTAATAAAGATTTATTAATAATTAATTATTAAGAGATATTAATAAATTACAAGTTAAAAGCTTGTTGCATTGATGTCGACAAACTTGATTAGTTTTTGCTTAGAGTTAAAAAATTATTGAATAAAATTTAAGTGATACACATTTAGTAGATAGTGAGAGCTTAAAGAAGTTGGTGCAAGGTAAAACATTCCGTACATAAAATATAGATATGTATAGGTATTGCATTTTATATAGATATATATATATATAAATATCCGAATGCAGGATAGAGTCAAAAGTCACACAATCTTAAAATTCTATTTTTTTATAATATACATTTTTATTATACCAATTCATTATGTACTATATAATTATAATCAACTACTTTTAAGTCTTATTTTAAATTTTTACGCAAAATTTAAAAATTTTATTTCCTTTATCCCTATTCTTTTATATAAAATCGAGATGCAAATTTTTTAACAAAAAAAAATATATGTATTTCAAAAGAATTGAGTGACTTTGGCCTCTCTTTGTGCTCATGTTTGTGCGTACAATTCATTATTACAGAAAAAAGATATATATAGAGAGAGAAAAACCTCAAAGGGAGTTCGAATTTAAGTTTTCTTATGTTTGTATATCGTTATTTTTTTTGACCTTGTACAAAATATTTTATAAATTTTTTCAATCTTATACTTTTCGATTAATGAATCGATTAATCGATCCATCGCAATGTTATATATATATATATGTATATATGGGATTAATTAATTAAAATTAGAATTTCAAAGTAAGATTGAAAAAATCTAAAATCAAAATATGAGGATCGCCCTATTAAAGTGCACATCTACCATCCATATAAATTTACATGTTAACTATACATATCAATATAGTTAGATTATCGAAAGTGTATAAATTATTCAAACATGAAATCTGTATAATTATTCTTATTGTGTATCGTATATTTGATTCGACGATTGTAAATCTTTATCCCGTATAATTATTCATCCGCGTTAGTGTATATTGATTTATTGTTAAATTATTAAATAAATTTTATTATTATTATTTATTTATTGTCTTTAAAAAGGATTGAAAAAATAAATGACAGGTGTATATGTAAGTTTAATGTTTTTTTGACATTATTGTGTACCTTATCAGTCTCCTCAATAGCAGAGTCTTCTTTTTTTTGCAGTTTTTTATTTTACTTTTGGTTTTGTCACGGTCAAGAAATTCAAATTCTGTCATAGTTCATGATGATCATGATGATGATTTTTTTTGTGACGAAGTGAGTGACGATAAGAGGGCAGATGCGGGCGTGATCCCCATGAGGAGTGCTAACGTCTTATCACCTACACATCCAAAGCAGCTCATTCCACGCATTCGACAACATTTCACTTTTCTGTATTTTTATTATTAATTATTTTGTCTCAATTGTCTCGCAAATTCAAGAGCCAGTGAGATTGGAAAATTAATTTTTAAAAAATATTTTCTAAATATTATAACAAAATGAAAAAAAAAAATTAAATAACAATGTTTATTATTTGAAAGATTCCAATAAATAAATAAATAATTTTATAACTAATTTAATAATAAAAAAATAACAAATAATAATAATAATTAATACTAAGATTAATATTTAATTAAATTCTAAATTGCATTTTTTATATAATGAAGAAAATAAGAAAAAAACAAAATGGCTCTTGATTGTGAGAATTATATAAAAGTCAGTCCAATATTTCGTAATGTCGAAATATTTATTTATTTAACGACAATATTCAAGTTTTGAGAAAACGTCGAGGAATTAATTATGGAAATAGAAGGATAATATTAATTTTCCTTAATACATGGATATTAGGAGAGAGAAAAAAGGACAATATAATAAAATTAAAAAAGAAAAACATTTTTTTACTAGTGCGAAAGATGAGATGATTCTGGTTTCATTTTGGGGAAGTGAGAGACGCAAGCAAATATATAATATATATATAGATATAGATACGAGTGCACTCGGTGTCAACGTATATATATTTGAATATTTTTATTTTTTTTGTGCATTTGATTCGTGCTGTCAATTTTATAATTCTCAAAGAAATATAGTCTCTTCGAATATTTCATTCGATTTTTCTGATGCCATTCAAGCCACGTAGACACCTCCTAAATCCTAGGACTAACATCAGGCACAGAGGAAATGCAATTTTGTGAAAGGATTCGTACAAAAATCAAACGAGAATATTTTTTATTGTGGAAAAAAATTATTTCTTTGGAAATATAATTGAAAAAGTATTTTCAATTATTTTTACTCAATAATTATATTCTTTACAATTTAAAACGTTTTTTTTAGATACGAAAAAAATTGAAAAAAGATTTCGGTGAAATTTTGTTGTAACTTTGTAATTGAGGCTCCGGATCTTAAAAGGGCACATGCGCAATGTTAAGTGAATGGCGCGTGTGCCCTTTTAAGATCCGGTGCCTCAATTTTTGACCATCTGAACAAAAAATATAAATATCAAAGTCGAAAAAATTAATCCAGGTTTACAAAATTAGAACTTCAAAATTGGGAAATTAATATTATTTGATTTCAGTTATTACATTTTTTTTTAATTCAGAAAAATACATCTTAGAAATTTTTTTTTTTGTCAACAATATATTTGTTTTGTGTGTTAATACGTTTGAGTTCTGCATGAACTTTCGAAAGATATATATTCAATGGCCTGGAAATCACTCGATTGTCTCAGTAAAATAAATTTTTTTAAATTTTATGAATGTTATTGCAAATTTTAAAAAATTTTATATTGAGTCTTTTAGTTACTGATATAAATTTTTATGTTAATCACGAGTAAAATTTAATGAGACTAAAAATAAGTTTCTGAGATAAAAATATTAACGTTATATAAATCATTGTTATAAAATATTAACGATTTCTTTGGGAAAAAGTCATAGTGAGATAGAGGCTTTTATACGTGAACACAGACCTAATTTCCGGTTCATACTGAATTATGCAGCCCGCCTTGTGACTTTTCATATATATGAGAGGAGAATAACAGACATCGACTACTGTGTGTCGCCAGACTTGTTGTTGGCAATAACTTCTCGATTATGTAGATCAATTCCAGTCTCGATCGATGCATTGAAAATATATGACACTACTCTCTTCCAAATATAAGTAACTTTTCGTATTTTTCTCGAGTGACTTCACCAGCCAAGAACTTTTATCATGCTCAAAAAAAATAATAAATAAATAATAATAATGAAGAAAAAATTGTCAATAAATTCTCCGCGAGAAACAAATCAAAAATTTATCATTATTTTAAATAAAAATTTTAATTCTCTAATTTTTACCATTTACATTTTTAGATCCAAAGTGCAAAAACTACAAAGTTACAATTTCGTCGAAACTTTTTTTTTGCAATTTATTTTCAAAAAAGTCCATTAATATTTTACATTTAAATAAAAAAATTTTCTTCATTTGCTATTATTTTTTTTTCAAAGAAAAGAAAGAAAATTAAAAAAAAATTTTATTGAATATTCTTTCTTTTAATTTTTGGAATGTAATGGGCATAGTGATTAACATCTATAAAGTACACTTCACGATAAGAGGTTATACAATAATGTGCGGTGATGAAGATGGTTGTGCAAGGGACATATATATGCTAATATTGTGCGAATGAGTGAGAGCAGGCTATATAGAGTGATTATAAGAGAGCAATAGTCATGATGCAAATAATATATATAGCAGTGATGGATGATGATATAGTCGCGTGTGATCGCATATATATAATGTTTATGAGTGTGTATCGCAAATACTTTTTTTTTAATTTATGTATCACTTACACCAGGTGCTACATAATTATCGGATCTTACCATATTTTTTTTATTACTTTATTTCAAAAGACACATCTTCAATAATTCCCAATTTAAAAATTGATAACGTCCCATGTGCGAAATACAGATTCCTGTACCAACATGTTACCGACACTGGAAAAAAAGTCCTTTTGTTCCTTCCTAAATAGAAAAAAGCCACGAAAACGAAAAAAAGATTTTCAATTGTTTCTTGCCAAAAAGGGTTGAATTAGAACCTTTTTTTAGTAAATGTCGATAACATGTCGGTGCAGGATTCTGTATCTAGAACTATGTAAGCATTGGAGGTTATTTCACCAACGCTGGGCGCAGAAAATTATTGAAAATTCCTATCCTCTTAACTATTATTGAATCGGAAAATTACAATTTTTGGTTTAGAATTTTTTCCCTTGGAAAATAATTTTCAATTTTCATGTATTATTATCCGAACAAAAGAAAAATATACGAATTATTTAAATTATGAAAATTGATTTAAGAATAAAAATCATTAGGTATAAAAAGTATGAAAAGAATGTAAATTTCTTATTTTGTAAATCGCAATTTTCCGAGACGAAAAGGTGGGATTTCTTTTGCAAATGAAATTGAATATATGAAAATATGAAATGACGATGAAATTACGCTATTTTGTGAATTGAACAAAAAAGAAAAAAAAAGATAAGCCACGCAGCGAATTTCTACTGGCAAGCAGCTACGTACAGTTAAAATGAGACGCGAATTGTGGGAATCGCGACCGAGATAATAATTAAAAAAAAATTTAAATTCTTAAAGACCTGCTTCTGGGCCATGGACTGCATCTGCTGGAACATGATCCTCTCTTCCTCTTTTCCTGTAACAGTAGATATTACACTAGATCTTTCCAGTATTCACAAATATAATTTTTCATCCTCAGTTTTAATTTTTATACATTTTGTATTTTTTCAAAATCAATATTGACATTGAGTATATAAAATATATCTATTAATATAGTTGGAATAAAAAATGTGTCAATGATGCTATTTGAATAGCAAAGAAAACAAAAAGCATCAATGAAAGGCATTGAACAGTGAATTGCTTATCAGGACACACATTAATGACAACGTTTGCTACGTTTTCAAGTTTCATCTGGTTTAATTCACCATAATAATTTTCGTATTATAATGTATTAAATTTAAGATTATTTTTTTTATTTGCAATTTATTCTTAAATTAAATATACTATTAATGTACTAAATTTTCTAAATTTAAGAATAAAACTGCTTTAAAATAATATAAAAGCACCAAATATGTTTTCTCAGTTAGAAAATATAATTTCAGTGCAAAAATGTTTTTAGAAACTGTTTGCAGTTTTATTTAAAGCGATTTTCTTTTTCATGAACTATATAGAAAAAGTATATGAAAAATTACGAGTTCTAAACCCATATAAAAGTTGAGCAGAAGATTTACTAAAGTTTAGTATATATATATATAGGCCACTTGAGTCACTTCAGGAGGATTTGTAGTTTTAGAAAGTTAATGGTACAAATTTTTCCCTACCCTTTTTATTATTGTTTTACATTCTGGACACGTGAAAAGTACACATAATTTTTTTTTATATTATACTTTCATTTTGAATAAACGAAAAGAAAATTCGCTAAAAGTAAAATTCTATTTTCACACAGCTTACATTTGTTTTACTTGGCAACGGAAAAAAAATGCAAATTTCATCAAATAATTCCATTTTCATTTTATACTTTCAGTCTATACATATAAATGGCAAAAGAAAAAAAAGGAATTTTCTGAAAGTTTTTGTTAAGAAATTGTACAATTAATATTTTATTACCAATTACCTTGATAAATTAATAGCTGATTTTTATAAACAATTGAAATCTTACTATACATATTAAAATAAACAACGAAATTTATAAAATGACAAATAATTCTATATTATTTATATGAAGTTAGTGGCACTGATTTAAATCATTCAGGAGAATGTAAAATTAATTGAAACCTTATTGAAAGTTAGTAATTATTACCATCTAATTAAAATACTTTTAATAATAATGAATACTATGAAACAATAATTATATATTTGGCTAAATATTTTATTGATCTCAACAAAATGTAATTAGATTTTCGTAAAGTTTCCAATTAATTTAAAATATCTCACATATTGTATAAATTATTAAATTACTACAAAATTAAAAAAAAATTAATCTCACTTTTAAAATATTTGTAGATAGTTGAATTTAATCTTGCTTTCAAAATAGAATATATTATTTAAATTTATATTATAGTGATTTGGTTGTTCAATATAAAATGATATAATCCTATCATGCTTTGGAATAAAGAACTCTTTTATATACACAGAAAGTTTACAGAAGTTTTCAAGTACTCTGTTTGTAACTCAATATATATAATATATACAGTGTTAATAAAGTCACATTGAAGAAAAATATGAACAATTTAAACGAATATTTGAAAATTGAATAAAAATCAGAAGCTTACCCATTCCCTTGTTTTGCAGCATTTCGAGGAGCTTCTTGATGCTTTCATCCCGAGCTTGCAGCGTTTGCTTTTGCGTCTCTATCCTTAGCTCCAGTTCCTAAAATAAAAAAAAGAAGAAATAATGTTAAATTCCTCGACTTTGATTCAGTGAAAATTTCTTTATAATATTCTTTATTTCTACATTTATTTAGGCACCTTTATAATTTATTCATTTATTTATAACAGTTTTACGGGTAGTACCCATAAAATATAAAATAATTTTAACTCATGTATTTTACTATTTTCTTAAAATTATATTTTTACAAAACTATTTTTATACTTTTATAAATGTTTATTCTTCATAAGACATATTTTATTTTTATTGGGATTTTTAACTCTTTTTTTCTTACTAACCTACCTAGCTTAATATTTTCTTTTGTTTTCTTTTTTTTGCAAAAAATGCAGTAAAATTTTAGAAAATAGATTTTATTTATAAAAAAGGGCAATGGACTAAATGTATACGGAAATGATGGCCAATTTGATAATGAACGACGCAACGAGAAAGTGCCTACATAATTTGGCATCTGTCCAAAGACTAGTTGCTTCTCAAGTTGACCTGTCTACGATGACGTTGACCTTTTACATATATAGATTTATAATATCCCACAATTTTTTTAAATAACAAAATTTTTCATAAACAATTAATAAAATTATTATCAAAATTGCAATTTATCAAAATTATTAATGTCGAATTTCTGTTTAACTGAATTATTTACAAGTTGGTGGAAAATTTATTGAAAACTAATTTTTCTATTTAACTAAATTTGCATTTAGTTGAATTTTCATTCAGTAGAATTTAATTTTGTAAAAAAAATGTAAAAATTAGAATAAAAGCCTAAAAATATTCACCAGACAGTGATTTTGACAGTGAGACCTGTCTTTTTCAAAAAGAGGCAAATCGTGATCTTTTGTGGTCTACTGCTTGGCATGAAATATGTCGTGTTCATGTGGCACTTGGTACGTGCCAAGATCTCAGTCTACAGTTTTATTGGCAAGGAATTTACCGGTCATTTACCTCAAGTCTCGAGAATAAAAAAATAATCAAAAAACATACATATATTTTTATTAGCCCCTTGCCCAGTTGAATATATATTTTCGTTTGATTAAAAAAAATATATATTCTTGTTTGCATTGGATTTTCAATTTTCTTTAGATATATATAAAAAGAGAAAGAGAGAAATATGTACGACATTATACGTCTTTGAAATGTAACGAGAAAACATATTGTATTTTTTTTATAACTGTCCGAGACAGTTGGGAAAACTTGGACAAATGCTCTCCTCTATTACAATCTGACCTACATTGCTTTTAATCTTTTTTATAATTCTTCGCTGTAACTCTATATACACTAGAAATTGTATTTTTTTTACCTGTATTTTTTAACTCATATTATATATATTGTATATACACTTCGATTATATAAGAATAAATTTTCGATTAAAACTAAATTATGAAATTAATTGGAATTTTCTTTTAATTTGAAAATTAAAAATCGCGGGGAAATCAATATTCTCAGAGAAGTTTATTTAGAAATAAAAATTGAAAATAAATCGAAAGAAATAAATAAACAATTTTTTTTCTGATATGGAAAATTACCTTTATCGTGTCGCGAAGTATGGCAATTTCGCGAGTAAGATGCTCGTTTTCGTTGTATAAAACTTCCATCTGCTGCTGCAATTCAATGCTCGGGCCTCGCATCCGCAGCCTCAGCTCCTCCTCCAGTTGCCGAACCATCATGCTTTGTTTCTGCAATCAAAATTCCAATTTTTTATTATAGGACTATTATAATAATAATTGTTTTAATAATTTTAATTCAATTAAAAATAATTTTCAAATTTTTAAAATATTTTTCAATTTCTGTCATTAAATTTTGTCACATATTTTCTCAGGTGTACAATACAATACAAAATTCATTCTATTTTCCCATTTGTTGACAACTAGAAAAATAGTTTTTCCCCTAAGAAAACGTTTTTGAAATAAAATATTTTCATTTGTCGAAGAATATATATGTATAAAGAAAAATCAATAGTACCATTAAAAATATTAAATATTTATCTCCATAAATCTAAAACAATAATAATCCTAGTCCGTGAATATATTAATAAATAGTAAAATTTCATTTCTTTATTTATTTTTTTTGAAAACAAAATTTTTCTGTAACACCTTTCTTCTCTCGACAATTTCTTTTGTAAGTTGAGCATCTTCGATGAATGAGAATAATGCACGCTTTTTATTTACTGCGAGGAAAATCGGAGAAAATGTGAATTTTCAAGAGAACAAAATTTATGACGAGAAAAAGAAGTATCAAAATGGAATATCGTCCATATAGGAGAATATGGGTTTTATTTTCTTTTTTTTCTTTCTCTCTCTCTTTCTCGTTGAGGAAAAATAAATTTACGGAAACTTGATCATACCTACATATATAACAAGGAAAAGTAATATTTCAATTATGTTTTTTTCTTTTTTTTCGGTCATCAGAATAAAATATATGGAATTATTTATTCAGAAGTCAAAATTTAGAGAGGTAAAAAATTATTTTATTCAAATATGTATTTTAGAAATTTGTATAAAATATATATTCAATTTTGGAGTATGTTTGAATTCCGTGATTTGACCTAATTAAACTTCGACAACTTGCCTGTGGTGTGACGTCACATGAGTATGCCACACCCCGCACTGTAAGAGTGAAATAGCCCCCATAACAAAATCATTTCACCCTCTTTCAACGAATCCCGTAAAACTACCCTTTTCACGTGTTTCGTTCACTTTTATTGACATGCATGAAAAAAAAATTCCCTACAAAGAAAAAACGATATTCATAGGTTACAAAATTACGTTTAATGATTATTTTTTCACACTTTTCTTTTTTTTCGTTTTCATGTTTTATTTTTGTTTTTTGGTCTTCTTTTTTTATTCGTGTTTTTTTTATTTTCTTTTTTGATCCTTCATTTTTTTTTATTTTTTTGATTTTCATGTTTTTTTCTACTTTTGTAAATGAAGATTAAAAGTGCTTTTTTGAAATTAAAATTCAGACGAGTATGAAAAAATTTGTTCCTCGAGGGATCAACGCGTGCCAGTTGTTTCTTACCAAGAAAGTTTGTTAATTTTCTCAGTTACTTCGTACTCGAGAAATATATATTCTCATCACAGAGAATTTTCCCACCTGGAGAGAAAAAAAGTCTCTTTTAAATATAATACCCGATTAATGAGGCATGAAACTACTTTTCGTTGGGAATTATGGGACAAATAAATAGATATAACAGAGAACAATTTAAAAAAATCCCATTTTCTTTTTAACTTTTTTTAGGTAAAATATTTTAAATAAAGGGTAGGTAATAACGTGTAATACCGAGTAGTATTTGTGTAATTAAGCGTAGTACTTTGTAATATCCCTGTAATATAAAAGGTAATACTTGTAATAAGTGTAATAAGCGTAATAGGAATTCCATTGTACATATATACTTTCTCGACCAGTAAATCTCCCCTCTTTTTTTTATTTTTCTTAATTTCTTCAAAACCGTAGAGCTTCTAATCTCGCATAGAAAATGTAGAAAGAGTGTCAAGATTGACAGTATATATATATATATAAAAGATAAGTTCCAAACAACCTTAATTGTCATTTATACAAATACATAGAAAATTTGTGTGTGTGTTCCAATGTTTTATGGCGTATAAGAGTAAAACTCGGCGTAAGGAAAAAGCGTCCAGGATTTACGCGATCGTTAATTGGATCTCGTCTTAAGCGGGGCTTCGTTTAAATTCTAGACTCTTATCTTATTCTTTCTTATATTCGTCTTTTGCAAGCCATGAGAGGGTTTTATATATATATATATCACATATAGATCAAATCATCCAGTCGTGTGATATCCCTTGGAGATCAGATTCCACAAGGGAGTTAATCGGGGTTAAACGTTTCAAAACGAGAGTCGTATATACATATACGTGTGCTCATCATCATCCCTCTGTAGTTTCATATGGATTATCGATCCCTAATACTCCATATGGTAGTAAACCTCAATTAGCTCCCATGTTGACGAGAATTCAAATCGAATTGTACTAACCATACAAGGATTCAATTTGTCTTGCATCGAAAAGTCTTCCATATTTACATTCCCCTTGCTTTTAAAATTAAATACAAAAAAAGGGGTATATGCATATGTTATACTGTTTCCACTTTCAAATATTGACAGATTATCCATATTGACCGAAATTTACATCACCGAATAGTAATCCATTTATTGCAGGACTGGATGGTTTCCATTTCAGTTTTTGTACATTTAAAAATTTATTTATTTATTCAATCCCCGTTTATTTATTCCATTATACAAAATACTTCAGTTAGTCGTAAATCAAAATGCATAATAACTATATATGATATATCAAATGTCAATTAAATAATGTAAAATATTTGTCATAAATTGAATTATCGTAAATTACAATAAGTGCCACTTTTAGTATCATTAAAAATATAATAATTGAATTTTCACTATAAAATGACAATTAATAAACGCATTATAAATTTTATGTTATGCAGTAAGATTTAATTTCTATTTTATTTAATAATCATTGTTGATGACTTGTTATTTTATTTTTACAGTGATATAAAACAATAAATCAATGAAAATTTTTAACAATGTTTTCCATCACTTTTGGTATATACTTTTTTTGTTCTATGACGTAGTTTTCATCATGTTTTTTCACAAAGATATAAAAAAACAGATAATCACTCTAAATATACGTATGTGTGTTTTCGATGTGTGTCATTGATTTATTTGAAATGACAGTACAGTGTTAGTAATAAATAAAATTTTGTCACAAATGTAATGAACCAAAACGTAAAGGGAATACGTTCTCTCTTTCTCTCTGTTATGTTGGAATTATTCGGGACATATACGTGTCCAGAATGTGAAATATAAGTTCAAATTAAACGAACTTTAAAATTCCACAGCTATAATACATTAACTCTATGAAAATATTTTATATATGTTTCGATGAATATATCAGGAAAATTTCAAATCATAATAACTGTTCCAAAAGTCACGTTTTATAAAAAATGTAGTGTATATCAATTTGTTGAAATAAAACTTTTAATAGAAAGAAATATTTTTATTACACGGAGAGAAATAGATGGTAAGAACTTATGATCTTAGGATGGTAAAAAGTAGATGTTATCCGGTACTATCAAAGATGTTACAAAAAGTATGGTTATGTTACCCACTGCAATCTAGATAGTAACGGATAGAATCTAGACAGCTGTCCGTATATGTATAAGATCAAATATGGTACCTAGTACTATATTTCTCTCCGTGTATTTCTTTTAGTATATTATTTTATACCCATATATTTGGATAATTTTATATATTTTTTTATATATTTTAATATATTCATTTTCAAAAAGCAGTATAACTTTCAACAATGAAACTTCTTTCATTATAATGTCATGTGTGGGCAACTTCCAAGTGACTTTTCAATAATAATCAAATAAATCGGAGGCGATTTATGTTTGAATAAAGTTCGCCATTGTATTCAATGTGAGTCAAGTCTGGTTACAATGCACTATTAAATGTTATAAACCGAGGGTTATTGTGACCTGAATAATAATATTTGATCTTTATTTCTTCATATATTCACACATAAAGCGTATACCTATATTATGTAGCAAGTCAATCAATTTTAATCATGTCTTTTTCCATAGAGATAAAAGTATTGAAAATTGTATTATTATTGTTATTATTAATATTGTTAATATTATTAGTACTGTTTGTATTTACTTAAAAAGTTATATGAAGATAAACTGTATGTTATATTACGCATACATATGACTTTAAATTGGAGAACTTAATTACTGTTAAGCATAATAAATAATATGTAATCAGCTTGACGCAATGCGCGCTACATAGTGACGAAGTTTTAACCTCACATGAGTACCAATTAAGGCAAATAATTTAGTTAGGTACAATTTAGCGCTCCAATAATATCCGGTGTCGGGCCTCTCGTTCCACTTTAATATACTTACGAGACGCTCCGAAAGGAATTTTTCCCGTTTATTTCTTTTCAAAATCAACATCTTCCAAAATATTCTATTACTGTTTTTTATTTTTCAAGATCGATACATTATTAACTATTAATTATTTAACGAGTAAATAATTGAAGAAATAAAAACAAATATACCTGGATTTAAAACTTTTAAATTGAGGAAGTATTTTTAACTTTCAGCTGATTAGATCTACATCCTTGTTTAAATTTCCTGCTTTGAAATCGGACTATGTAATCTGATTTGAACCAGAAAAGACTCTTCATCTCTTCTATTTTCGTCTCTCAAAATAACAGTTTCCATCTATTTCCATGTCCAAATCGCTAAATCACTTTCTTGTCGCGAAATTTAAGTTTGCAATTAAAATTCAAGTCATTATTTTAATTTTTAAACAATTATTTGGTTTTAATGAATAATGATTTTAGTATCATATAAGTATTTTTAATATTAATTATGAATAATAAAAAACAATAATTGGGTCCGTTTTAACTGAGCGTATATCAAAGAAAAATTGATTTTAAATTAAAAAGCAGACTGGCAGAAAGCAATCGATTAATTAAATTAATTTTTGAAAATTATCACCGGGGTTTGAAGGAAAAACTGCGGGATATCGTGATGTGTAACAAAAGTTTGCATGTTGCGGGTGGTTTTGTACATAGTCTGCCGGCAGAAAGAGAGAGGGGGGGTGATCGACTGGTAATTTCAGACGTGCAAATAGGCTGGGCAGCAGTTTGTCTTGAGACCAATGTGTATTTCTATGTCTGTGTCAGTCTTCACGTTCTCGTGAACGAGCCAAACGGAGGAATAAGAGTCTGGTTGCGAGGAGGTCGACGTACCCAGATCGATCTCTTCCGAGAACCCGTGTGCTTTCCGAGCTTTGCGGCCCTGGTATGTATAGAAGAGGTCACGCTTCCATATATATACATACCTTCAAGCACTTTACCTGTACACTAAGGTCTGGTAGACGTCTCGTGTTTGCAATCTTTGGTTTACCTTCCTTTTCGAACACCCCCTCTCCCACTGATAAGCCTTTCCCGGAAGTAGTTTTTTTAAAAAAAGGAAAAAAAGAAAAATACATTTTTTGCCCCACAACGATCGTTGATTTTTTTTTATTTTTCTCCCTATGATGCGTTTCAAAATAAATTTCATCTCTTTTTATTATCCTATACATCTCATACACGCTACTGAGAAAAATGAAGTTGCTCCACTACTGAAGGAAGATAAGATACTCTGTACAGTTAAGCTTAAAAGCTTTCAGGTCTGCTTACTGACATAACACACAATTTTTCATTTATCCCTTTCTTTGTTGATCTTCTTTTCTTGATATACAATAAGAAATACAGTTTAGATCATTAATATTCTATTTTTCATTTTTGAAAAATTTTATAGGAACAATTTTTTTTATAGAAAAAAAACACGATTTTTTTTTATTTATAAATAAAAAGAAAATGTTAAAAATTGTAAATATACAAATATTGCGAACATGTGAAAATTGTGAGCTTTGATAAACATAAAAATGGAAAAAAATTGGAAAAATCCAGGGGATATAAATGATCCCTTGGGTTTCGTAAATTTCTTATATACGTATACGGGGTTGAATGTCATTCAGTAGTAACATCCACTCGAGTCAGCCAAACTCGTACTCAATTTCCCCCTCAAGGAATTTTATTATTATCAACCTATATCTATACTCATTCATATATGTTCCATTTTTGTTCTATATTTTATCGACTGATTTTATTTTATACATTTGGAAATACTAAAAATTTATATTAAAAAAAAGGTATTTAATAAATATTTTATCAAAAAATTGTTGCTAACAATTAAAAAAATATAAACTGTATTTACTTTATTTGAATTAAATAAATTTTTTTTTACTGTACATTTGGAAATTTGAGCATCATAAAAGAAAGATGAGAAATCGTTTATCACGTAGGGTATATTTCTAAATCGTCTTAAATCGATCATTTAGGCCAGCATCACGGTCCAGATCACTTTCCGTTTCATCTAGCCCAACATTTTCGCCTCCTCTCGTTCAATAGGTTCTTAGAGCTAAAAACCAATAATGCCCTCTCACGAAAGTGGAATCAAAGTAAAACGCAAGGATTTCGAATCGTATATGTGTGTTCACATATGTGTGGATTATATACATCGAAAATGAATTGTGCCTTATTGAAATGCACTAAGTTCCTCCGAGTGTTAAAAAGTTTTCATTATAAAGCATTTTACTTGAATGCAGATGTGGTTCTAAAGATATAACTTAAATTAATTAAATTCAATGTTTGTGATTTTCGTTCAATGAAAAATTTTACTTATAAGATAATAAAATAAAATTGCCATTGCTCGTTTAATTCGAAAATGAGTTTCAAATACGTGCCTAATAGATCTGAAAGTTAAAATCCTTTAGCAGAATTCTCATTTAACAGAATTTCCCTTTTATCAAATTCTGTTAAATAAAAATTCGGTTACATAAAAATCCATAATTATTATATTAAACAAAAGAATAATTATAATTATTATTATCTGGAAAAATAGAAATTAAAAAAACTAGATGCTAATGTGAATTTCATTGAAGCCACAATGCACCAATTAAATGAACAGAAACCACTCTCCTATAATAATTATGACCTTTTCTCTGGCTTTGACAGTTTTTAATCTTTGGAAAATAGAAAGAAAAGATAATTCCACTTCTCTATGTATATAGCATTCGTGTATTCAAACCTAGAGTAAAAGCAGAATATTAATCATGATCCAAAAAAAGGAATTGTGTAAATGTACCTAAAATGGATAATATTGATAAGAGCGAAAAGTAGGTCAATAAAACCACAATAATTATATCGCCTCGTGAATAAATATCAAAATTCGTCAGTTTAAATAACGTAAAAGAATTTAAAAAAAAAATTATTAACTCACATTCTTTACTTTCATATTTTTCTTCTTTTTCCTATTTTTTGATTTCTAATTTTTTCTTTTTTTATTTTTTTTTTCTCTTTCGGAGGGGGGAATTTTTAGTTTTTTGACATTTTCTTAATATGATTCTCTCGGTTTTCTTTGATGTTTCAAATGGCAAAAGGGGAAAAAGTCAGAATGTCGGGGGGATAGGTTTAATTAGTAACTGCGAAAGTTGATTCTTGAAGAAAGTATCCACATAGTATATCCGGAAGTTTCAGATCTCCTACTGAAAGCTTGAGAAGAATGATGGCGGACCAAAGTGGAGGCAGAGGCGTTATCGAGCGGCACCAACTCTCCGTCTTTTTTCCCCCTTCTTTATATATATATGCGCCCACTCATACACTCTGCCAGAAAAAAAAGAGAGACGTTTTTTAACTTTGCCTCCACTTTTATCTTTTCTCTCTTTCACTCTCTTTTTCGTCTCCTGCTCATTCTTTTTATATAGTTGATTTTCTCCTCTCAAATAATTTCATTTCTTTTCTTTTTTTCTTCTTTTCCTTCTCATCGTCCAACATATCATTTAACTGCAGTCTAAATGGATCGAAAATTCCCACAAAGCCACTTGTCTTTAAATCCACATTTTTTTTTATTTCTATTTAAAACAGGCATTTATCATATCTTCAAAATAGATTTTTTTTAAATGCACTTACTTTTAATATTTTATAATTGAAGATAAAATGAGTTGAATTAATTAGGATATCGATATTTATTATTAATTATTAAAAAATTTTTTTCTTAATTTGTTATTCTGTACATCTAATAAAAGTTCCATTTAACGCATTTTATGAGTGGTATATTATATAAATTAATTTTTAACTGAAAATTTTATGACTTTATCAAGTATGACAGGTGATTGATTAATTAAAAAATAGCCATTTTATTTCATAATAATATTGATGGCATTTCATTTGTACGTGATTTTTCTTTCAAGGGTCATCCTGAAAGATCATTAATTGATTTCTCTAATTTACACTTTATATTGATGGTAACATTTCAGTCTCCGGTGGCCTAGATTCGAAATGAAATAGCAAAACGCATCCTGTCTGCAACATTACTCTTCAATTTCCTCTCATGCAATTGCTCTTATATTTCCACGAATTATTACTAAATATGTTAAGGAAATTTCGCCTCTATACTACACTGATGTAAAAAAAATAAAAATATATTTTTATAAAAATAAAAATGTTATAAAAATAATAATTATTATTAATAATCCGCTTGTTAAATATTTTTTTCTTTTAAAAAAAAATTTCATACAATAACATAAAATAAAAATTGAGAAAACGTCGTCAATATAAATTTTGTCTATTTATAAAAATACTTTTAAAACTACTTAAAAAAATGTTTGACGTTGGTAACGATTTAATTTTGTGCGAGTAAGAAAACTACTTAGTAAAAGTGGATGTTGCAGATGCTGTAAAAAAAAAAGAAAATGTATAAAGGTGATGATAAGAGTAGGAGGAAAGACTCTTTGAAAGAGTTATATTAAGTTGGCCTTCCCCTCTCCTAAAAAAACCATCTTTTTATGAAAAACAACAAGAAACACAAGAATTTATTTCAATTTTGAAAAAAAAATTTATTCATTCAGTTTTTTATAATTTTTAAAACACATTAATTTTCATTTCAAATATTGAAAAATTCAAATAATTCTCGAGAGTTTAAAAAATTATATCGGTATATATATATATATTAAACTATGTATTGGAATTTGCAAAGCATTTATACTGACGAACAATTTGACCTGGATGTAACTTTCAAATTTGCCGCCTTCTTCTACCCCTACTTAACCTCATGTAAAGTTAATAATAATAATAGTGATAAAAAGAGAAAAAAAATTATTGTTATTTAATATTATTATAATTATTTAAACACATTGTAAATTAGTTTAAATAATAAAATTTTGTTTTTTAAAAAAAGGAGGAATTAAAAAAAAATTTTGAATTTGAATATTTTTCAAGCCTATTTTCATGAAATAAAGAATATTTTATACAACTTATTTTTGATCCCACCCTAGTGTAAAATGCCTAAATACGTTTTTTAAGTACATGAATCTCTCTCTTTTTTCTCTCTCTTTATGACTCATCGAGAGTTATTTCCTCATTAACGCGCACCACTATAATGGTTTCTAGGCGGATCAAACTAACGTCCATTGTCACGTAATATATATATATATGGGCATTCTATGTGAGATTTTCATTCAACATTTGTTTTGACTATAACAGTTTTTTTCAAAATTTTCATAAAAAATAAGAAACTACGTATTTTTTTATTTCTTTATTTGATAAACATTTTGGAAGTTATGATTTGTATCAAATAAAAAAATTAAAAAATACGTATTTTCTCATTTTTCATAAAAAATTCGAAAAAAATGTTCCAGACAAAAAAAAATTTTTTGAATGAAAATCTCACGTGAAATGCCCCATATACATACTATTTCTCTCCATCAATCTGTCGACCCTGTTGCTATCTTTTACTTTAAATTGGAAATTCGCCAAAAAGCTGATCATTCGTTGAATTTTTCTTGCTCTCGGGACAATTTAATTGACGACTCCGGAAATATTCGATCTAGAGTCTACTTCTAATTTAGAATTAAATACGTACAGACATTGGTCCATTATAGACCGCGAGAGATAAAATAAAATAGTCTCTACTTTCATCTCGTATAAGATATCATATTACCTCGTTGTCACTCTGTGTTTTTATAATATTGTTTTTAAAAAAATTTGGTTTTTAGTTCCCGCGATCGTATTCGCACTAGTGTTTTAATTAAAGAAACAAAGATCAAAAGGGGAGACATTTTTTTTATTCAAATACACAACATTTTATTTTAAATAAAAAAAGAGGCATTCGATTACAGAAAAATTCGTTTTATATTTTAGAAAAAAAACGAGGGTCCTTTTAATTAATGACGAAACTAATTTTTTTTGCGGTTGCAAAAACTTTTACCGCGAGACAAAATGTTTTTCAAAATCGTTATTGTTTCACATTTAAGTAAAAGAAAAACACATTTGAAAATAAGTGGAAACCTTTTGTTTCACAGGTCAATCTCTGATAATGCGAATGACGATAAGAAATACGCAATATTTGTGGAAATACAAAAAAAAAATTTCAAATGACATTACAGTAAAATCTATTTCTATTTCCAGGGCAATTTCTAGAGTGAACCATTTGGTTTTATCACATCTGCAATAAAAACCCTGGAATTCTTCTTAAAAAGGTTCATATTGCGAGAGCAAATTATAAAGTACTTTCCGGTTTTATTAAAGATAGCGGAAACTTGGCTTTAGATTGTAATTTTTAATTATACATACAAAAGTAGATGACATTAAAAAGTAAATGAGAATTATTTTTTTTAATTTCATAGTATTCGAACTTAGTTAAATATTTAAATGAAAGAATTTTTATTTCACCAAATTTCTATTTTACCGAATTTTTATTTAGCTGAATTTCATTTTACGAATTCGGTTTGATAAACATCCGAATTGGTGTGAAATTTGGCTAAATAAAAACTCTTTCGCCTGAGAGTTTGGTTAAATATTAAATATTTGGTTAAAAGGAGCAAATAAATCTTTTGAAAAAAAGTGAATGTTAAAGTGCCCTAAAATGAAAATCTTGTTTCTTTTTTTTAAGATTGGAAATTACCAATATGTGTTTTATGTATATGGCAGGTGTACATGTATTTTACACGTGGATACTAACATCGGTTTATATCGATCGGCCTAAATATAACGAGGTGGATTACCGAGACCCTACGCCACTTGTGTGTTTATAGCTATACACATATATGTATATTCTCTATGTATTATATACATATATGTGTACGTCCGACGCGACCGCATTGTTCTTCATGGTTTAGCTTTGATAAACGTGCTTTTCCTTAACTTGCTTTCCGGCTTTCTTGCCCTTGTTCCCTTCTTTATTTTTAAAAAGGAAAATCAATCAATCTTGAAGTAATCGATTCTGCATGATGGCTTTTCCTTTGAAGTTGACGAAAACTTTTATTAAACTTTCAACTCAACGATTTTCATTATACATTTTTGATAATCACTTTTTTTTTACTTTCACTATTTTTTTTTTAAATTTTTTTGACAAAATTTACTTTAAGGGCATGTTACGATCAGTAAGTTTACGTGATCACATTTGTGAACCCAAGTAGAACTTAATATCAGCTTAATATCGCACTAATATTACAGGGAAGATGCAAAATAATACGGTGTGACATTACAGGTAATATAACAGTAATATTACCTTAATGTTACATGTAATATTTCTTGGATGAGGCGAACATTTTAATATTACTTGTAATATTACGTGCTACTTGGATAAACATTGCGTTGATAGGGAAAAGGGTACAGTGACCGACACCCTGACAGTGAACGACATCAGTTATTAAAAGCGATAATATAAATATAAAAATAACGCGACATTAAAATATACTTCATTGAGATTATAAATTGAATAAAGTGCAATGCAAGTGCAAAAATATTTTTCTTTCTTGAAAAATAATCTCAAACATTCTCATTTTTTATAGTTATGTGACAAATTTTCTGAATGTTAAAATATTACCATAAATTAAACATTTTAATATTATTATTAAAATAATAAATAAAAATGTGCAGGACGCAGAAGATTGATTTTCAAAATAACAGGAGTGACTCTTTTAATACGTCACTTATGTTGTAGGATATATGAATATTTTTTCTTAAAAAGCGCATATAGAAACCTTTTAGCATACGTAGACTATATGGTCTTTTAAAATTTAGCAATGTGTCTACAAGTAAAACGTTGTCTTCATAGCTACCAAGTGTAAACGTGAAAACAAAGGATAAAAAGTTGACGCGAAGAATGAGACGCATGAACTCAAAATCGTGGGTGGATTGTGAGAAGAAAGAATTGAAAGGGTATGTGACAGCTACAAATCTGACATGACGCCAGACATACTGAACTCATGTATAACGATACTTCCTCTCGTGTATATATATACGTAAAAAAACTTACATTTCATTCAATGAGAATATTACTTAATTATGCAAAAATTCGGTCACATTAAAAAATAGTCATTGTTCCTTTTGAAATTTAACTAATTAATTTACGATTTTAATTAATTAAAATCTAAATGAGTTTATAAGATGTAATTAAACGAAAGTCCAATTAAGTTTACAATTTTAAATAAATTAAAGTCTGTTTAAAATTTACTTAATTAATTTAATTAATCGAAAATAAGTTAAATTTTAAGTTTATGTTTATAGTATAAATTTAAAGACTTTTTTGTCATTATTTTTTGTTTTTATTATAAAAAGAGGAGTAAAAAGTTATTTTGAGATTATTTGCGCATTTGAAAATGGAAATTTCAAAACGTTATGATTATTTTGAACTCAAAATATTTTTCTCATTTTTTACATATTTTATGACCTACTTTAACATTAGCGTATACGGTCGATGCTTTAAGTTTGCCCGCGAGAGAAGAGTTGAAAATGTTCTCTTGTCGTCTATACTTTATTTCACGCGAAATGGAAGAGAGTGAGTGAGAGAGAGAGAGACTTCATTCTTTTGCGGGATCCAGTTCCAGTTTTCATGAGCGCGACTAGGTAATGGAAGATTTACTCAGTTATTTTTAGAAAACGGCTGCTGATCGTTCTTAAGACCTATCTCTTTCTAACGCGATACATATGTGCATGTATTTATACTTTTTTCTTCAAATTCAAGTTCAAATAATAATAATATTTATTATATTTTTACGTAATATTATACTCTAATATAATTAATTATTATCTTTTTTTACTCAAATAAATAGTTGATCGAATTTATTTTTAAGCGAGTTTTATTATTGAGTTATTAGGGGAAAAAATTTAATGTGGAATGTTTTGAGAAAAGGAATGCGTTTAATGTATTCCAATGAAATGCAATTATTTTCATAATTTTATTTATTGATTAAATCAACTACGATTAATTGAAGTAATAAAAAAATGTATTTCATACTAAAAAACAACAAGAAATTTTAATTGTTTATATTATTAAACAGCCATATGTTTATGGATATGTAATGAACAAAAAAGTGATGGACTGAAGAAAATACAGGCAATTTGCCAAGAAATTCTTTCCGTTTAGATGCAATGATTCATTCATCTTCAGCCAACCCACTAATAAATATCATTGGCATGTGTGGGGGGCTGTGTATACAATTGTATGTATGCTGTATATATATATATATTACCAGCATTGCTGAATAAATCTTTTCTGAGCACTAAACGATCATGATGATTGGATACCAAAAGTAACTGAGATTGCTTTTGTATACAAAATCCAAGTACTTTTAAAAAACATTCTTTTCAATAAAATCGATTTCGACAAAAAGGTAATCACATTATTTCTTTCATAATATATCGTGAAGAATTTAATTGCTCTCTATTGTATTTGGATGAATTTATACCACATATATATTTCTCGTCATCAAGAAATTGTTTTTCGATAACTAGAATTTAGGTCATCAGGTATGGTTCTAATTCGAAAAGGCATTAGCCAAAATCAAAATCGATTTTAGTTTCATTTTTTGATCTTTTGGCAGAAAATCATTTTTTTAAATTTATTATCCAACTGCATAATATCTAGTTTTCTTATGATAAATTTCCCTTTTATGGAAATAACAATATCTTCTGTATACTATTTTAAAAAGAAAATTTTTCAATTTGTGAAAATAGCGTTCTTATTTTATTTTTACGATGCTGATGGTCTTTTACTCACACATACATACACATGAGAACAATTGATTACTCAAGGGAATAACTCATCTTTCTCCCTTGAATGGAAATAACTTTTTTTTCCTTTCTTTTTTCATTCATCCCAACCACAGAATAATTCTGATTGCAGTAATAAGTATAAAATGTCAGACTGACACTATATAAATGCAAATGACGTGAAACTAATTTCCACATATGACCTTTTTGTTGATATATATTTAAAGTGTCAAATCAAATTGTTTATATTCATAATTATGTTTCCGATAATTTCTCAATTAATTTAATCAAATTAGCATATATAATAATAATACAAATTGTCAATTGGTCAATTTATTTTTAGAGGATATTTTAAGATGCTGCTTTCATTTCTAGAAATATTAATAATTATATGTAAAAACTTATTCATGCTTTGAAAATCGATTTGCAGAATTTTCTTTTGTTATAACTGTAAGAATATAAATACCGAATAAAGTTTGATGCAACAACAAACCAGATTTGTTAGTTCTGTATTGTTGTGTCAAACTAAAGTCTGATTAGGATAACCAAAACTTTTGTTCTGTCCAACTAAAATCTGATTAGGATTATAAAAATTTTGACGACGCAACAAAAGAAATTTGTTTGCACATTCTTTAGTACCTGAAAATTGAATTGAGATATTTATCGACAGTTAATTCTAGAATGACAAAGACTGAATCAATTCGAAGAGGCGATAATCGTACTGAAAAATGCATGCGAACACGGAAGACAGGTTATATTTGAATACGGTGCGACCTGATTACCTGACCTCTGAAGGCGTATCCGTTTAAACGTTATTGAGCGAGAGGATGGTACACTATGATGACTCGCGCATCCCATTCTGATCAACTAGATGCACACGTGGTAGGCAATGACAAGATAAAATACTTTCCCAATGACAAAAAATTTGTTCCTCTCTCAAAAAGCAAAATTTGCCAAAATTACAAACCAGATGCCGCCATGTTGAGCCAAAAAAGAAATCCCAACCCACCAAATACAAAACACAACTGACCTGGTTTTCCGAGTTGAGAAGTTTGAGCTGCTCATTAATGAGGCTGTACTTGGTGCTCTCTTCTTTTCTCAGCTGACGTTCCTTCTTCAGCTCAGGACTCCAAAATGTCTTGATACTATGCATTGAGCTACCAAGTTTTTGATTCGTCAGTTCCAATTCCTTTTTCAGATTACCCAATTCGCGTTGAAGATCATTATTCTGATGTTGCAGCTCACCAATGTAATTACCACCATCGCGTAACATATGTGTATTTGGACTTTGTCGCGCTGATCTTGTACTGTAGATATCATCGTCAAGATATAAACCACGATCACGACTACGCTCCCTTGGATCACGAATTGGCACAAATTCCCGATCATGATCAAGAATACCCGCCGATGCACGATCAAGACTCGTGTAACGAGCAGTTAAACCAATTGAGCTCGACATTGCTGGCCGTGATGCACTTCTTGAACGATGATGAACAACACCAGCACCAGTTGACATACTCCTACCACGTTCGTCAATCATCACAGGACTGCCAAGGTCCTCGTCACGTGAATAATATGGACTCCCTAGCGCATGATGGTGGTAACTTCCGTAACCGAGATGTTCCGGTGAATTATTACCACTTCGGGTACCACGTTTACGGCCCAATGGACTACCTCGTCCACTGGCATAACTTCTCGATGGACTACGATCGACAGTCGGCAATTCTCCAACACGACGACCACTACGTGGAGAACGTGTCCCACCTCCTGGACCACCGACGACCACGCCGCTTCCACTTGAATAGGGGTCTCTGGACATTCTCTCTTGGGCGCAATCTCCCCCCCACCCCCTTAATTTTCTCTTCCTTTCCTTCCGTCTCTTCCTTTTCTTCCTTCTCCTCCTTCTCCCTCTAGTTGTTTCCTCTTTTACGTTGCCTGGCTACGGCAAACTCTTTCCTCTTCTTTGTCTGTCTCCCCGGTGGTAAATTTAGAAACTATTCTAGAATTTAGGGGAAATTACTGTTTTGGGGTGTCCGGTCATCGGCGACGTCGTGCACGATGTCGCCTCACCTCACGATAAGAACGGCTCATTTCGTTCATAATTTCCAGAATTCCTTTTCTAATTATTAGAAAAGGAAGAGTACAATTTTACCAGTTGAAATTGAAAATTTTTATTAGAATTACTCTCTTCTTTTATTCCAAGGCATAAAATTATAAATGTTAATCCAACTCCAGAATTCTAATTCCAAGCCGCTTTTTCCATAGCGAAAAAAGGTGGCGTTAATGTCGACAAAGACCGGTGAATGTGTCACTGATGTTCCCCGTTCCGACCTTTTTCAACAAACAACGATCGATCGTTGACCTTCTTTCCAAACAGAAAACCCATGAGAGAAAACGAAACACACACTCCCCTATGTATAAATATATAGAATTTCAACTCCAGTGATATTTAGTATCTTTCTTGAGTTTTCCGGCATTGACATGCGCGCGACTCTACCTTCTTTCGCAAAGGGGTTGAATATTAAAAAATCAAAAAATTATTTTCAATTTTAGTTCACACATACACACACCCCTTTATTTAGATACTTTGATTTTTTTCCTTTCAGATTTCCGGCCACCTTTTTTTAAACCACCTCCACAATAATCACTGTACCGGCACAAGGGGTGGTTTGCGCGATCCCCTTTTGAAAAACGAAGGAAAGGAAATTCACGGCACGACAGACCCGCGCGAACTGACTGCCTGTTTTACCCTTCTGCCTTCTCTCACAGCATGCAAGTACTACTACTACTACTACTATTAGTACTACTACAGAGTAAAAGACCGGCACACAACTACATACACATCTTTTCCCGCTCGATTCCTGCTTTCTCTCCTATACATATCCATGCATTGCTTCTCCCCACTATAATCGTCGCGAACAGTTCTCCTCTACACGTCCCACCACACCCTACCGCGCACCACCCACAACCCGCCTTATAACCAAACTCACTCCCTTGCACCCTCCGTTGCCCCTCTTCCATAATATCCCCGGAAACTCGCACATCATAGCGAGTTCGCTTTTGAAGCAACTGTATATATGGTAGAGGAAAAATCTTTTCCCCCTATTTTCTATTCCATTAACAAAGGAAAAGGGATTTTTTTCATTTAAAATTGTTTTTTTTACATTTGAAGTGAAATTCACTCCGTGGAGTGTAATTTTTCCCTGGAAAAAGTGAATTTCACTCCAAGGAAGGGTAGGATAAATTTAAAGGTAACTTTCATTATAAATTTTTTTTTAATTCTTTTTTTAACATTTGGAGTAAAATTCACTCTTTAGAGAGTGTAATATTCTCTGTAAAAAGTAAAATTTACTCCTTAGAAAGTATGATTTTCTCTGGCAGATATTATTTTCACTCCAAGCAAGGGTTTATAAATTTAAACTCAAATTTCAGCATAAAAAATACTCTTTTTTCAATTAAAATTTTTGTTTTAATTTTTGGAATGAATTGTACTACTTAAAGAGTGTGGTTTTCTCTAGTAGAGATGAATTTTTTATTAAATTCGTACTGGTATTTTGTAAAATTAGTACTGGAGTCATATTCAACTCCCTTGGAGTGAATTTTGATACTGGATTTCACTCCAACGAATTTGTTTCTTTGATGTGAGTCAAATTTTTGTATTGATATAAAATTTTCTGAAAGAAAATTTAAAGTAAAATATTACTGCAAGAAAAAGTGGGAAATTTCACTCTAATATTAGAGTATATTATTTTATTTTTAGTCATTTAGAAAAAATAAATTAAAATCTACGAGATTTTTATTCTTTTTCTCCACAAAGTAATAGAATTCGACTAATATCGAAATAGTTTCAATCAAAAGAAATAAAACTCTACTTTTGGTCTCTTTAAAAGTTCATTTGTCTCAATTTTAGTTTTCTTATTGCATTGTCACAATTTTCTCTCGACGCAAATCGAAAGTTCACATGAGAAAAGAAAATAAACTCTCAGCTAAATGTATACGATTTTTTTATTGTACTTATGATCTTAAATATTGGATTGATATAAAAAAAAATAATGATAAGTATTCTTAGCGATGATAATGGGCAACCTAATAATGGCCTCTAATAAACTCAAAACAGTGACAATTTATAACAAACTCCTTAACTGCAGTCAATAAAAACTAACACAACAACCCTTATCAACTATAGTTATAGAATTTTATTACTCTTGGCGCATATACAACGACTTTACTTTTGTTATATAGTTGTTACTATAAATAAAAAATAATTTTTACATAATTAAACTATATTAAATTAGAAAACATATAATAAAAGTAAATAAAGAATATTTTATAAAAAATGGAAATTTGTTTTTACTCTGCTTTTGTATTTTTTGACAAAAAAAATTATTAATCAATTATTAAAATTATTAATCTGCAAACAAATTAAGATCAATCTGATGCAAAAAATGTCATCATATTTATCAACGAAAAATAACAAAATAAAAAAAAAGATTTTCCTTTTATAAAAAATAATAACTGATATGATTAAAATTTCAATACGTGAACATATTGTCATTATCATAAAGATAACTCTAGAATGATCAAATTATTATCACTTTTCGCGACTATGAAACCTTCTCCCATGTATATAATCTTTGGAAGTTCTTTATAAAAAAAATAAATGCAATCAGTAAAATTTTTTATTTAAATCAAATAAATGCCTGTGAGACAAATATATCATTTCTGTAGGTGTAATTATATTATTATACCAATTCCATATTTATAATTAATGGAAGTGTTCGATATATAGTTAGTACTTCTTGACTAATTAAGGATCATTCTCCATATATAAAGGATGAATTTAATAGTGTAATTACGAGGAAAAGGAAAAAAAATATAAAGTAGGCATAATTTTTCTTATGTTAAAAAAAAATTTTACGCCACTAATAAGGATAACTCTTTTAACTCTCTCTCTCTATATATATATATGTATATAAAAGCTGATCTGAATGGTATAGAACTCGAAAGAGTTGTGTGAGGTTTGGATTTTCCTCTCGTGGCCCCGGTACGTCAATGAAGCTACGTTTCACCTAACAGTGCTGTAACACGAGAGGGTAACAGAAAAAAAAATATATATACATATACGATCCTAGAAAATATGTTTCCCATCATCGATTTTTTTTTATTTCAGGGTTCACTGAAAGTCCAACGAACTTGAAATTATTAAATTTTGAAACAACAAAAGAATTTGATGCGCTTCTGTGGCGACAATAAATTTGTATATACATATGTATATTGTATGGAAAAAGAAAGAAGAAGATGTGTACAGAAAAAAAAGAAAAAAAAAATTTTCTTTTTTTTACCCTCACGTTATTTTTCGATCAATGAACTAAGCGGGTACGCGCGAGGTTGGATCGATAATTCAACGTACTCCATATAGTGAGAGAGAGACTAGAGCGTCGCTAAAAGCGTATATTCCACTGGTCGAAGGGAAACACGCGCGCAAACGCAAGCTCTACGTCATATATTCTATATAGTGGGTGGAAAAACGTTTTTCGCGTTTGCAATTTCCCATGTATCCCTTCGGGTCTGTTTGATCCTTCAACGATTACGCAGAAGCAATGACATCAATTTTCAAACAGAGAGAGAGAGAGAGAGAGAAATGCTGGTGCTGCATTCTGTGAGCAATCAGATCAACTTTCATACAGTATTCACAGATATATTGAGAAAGGTCATGACCTTTTGCTGGCGGGAAAATCAAAATGAACTAATTAAAAATTTATTGTTCAAAAATTTAAGTTTGGACAAAAAAGTGCAGAAACACAATTGGCATTTTGACAGAATAAATTATTCAAGAAATTTTCCCTTATTTATTTGTATTTAACTGAAGAGTATGATCCTAACAGCATCCGGATATTCAAGATATCATATGGACGTCCTATAGATATCCGGTAATTAGGATATCCATAGATATCCTGAGGACATCCTAGAGATATCCAAATTTCCGGATACGGCTAGGACGTCCATAAGATATCCTGTAATATCCGTTGTTGTTAGGGATCTAAATTTAACTAACATTTAATCAAACTGTCATTTGGTAAAATTGGCATTTAGCAAATTCCTATTTAGCCAAATTAATGCTAAATCAAATTAGGATTTAACCGAATTGTCAATTAATAGAAAATGACATTTAAACAAACTACTGTTTAGGAATTTTTCTTTTTATCAAAGTGCCATTTATTCTACGTGTCATTTAGCCGAAATACAATTTAACCAAACGTCAATTATCCGAATCTGCATTTAACCGAATAGACAATAAATCGAATTGTCTGAATTAACATTTAATCAAATTGCTAATTAACAATACTTACTTTTTATCAAAATACCATTTAATATATTGGTTATTTAGCCGAAATGTAATTTAACCGAATTGTTTTTTAAAAATGTTAACTTAGCCGAATTTTTATTCAGCCGAGTAGCCATTTAACCAAATTTAACCGCATTAGAATTTTAAAAAATTGACAGTTCATCGAATTACAATTTTTCAGTATCTTCTCAAATAACCGAATTGTCATTTCACCAAATTGACAGTTAATCAAAATGTTCATTTATTCATTTATTATTTATTTAACCGAATTGTCATTTAGAGTAGAAATTCACTTAAATAGCAGTTCAATCTGATAAAAAAAATGAGTTGAATGTTAATTCGGTTAAATAAAAATTTTGCTAAATGACAATTCGGTTAAATAATAATTATCTTCTCTTAAATTTCATTCATGTGTCCCAGAATTAAAAAATTATTTCATAATTGTATATATACAGAAACAAGATTAAAAAACAGCCAAATGAGATAAGGAATTTTATTTCATAATCAACATTTTCGTCTATAAATATAAAATACAATTAAATTAATGAATCATTCAATAACATGTGTAATTAACAGTAGTTTAAATTAATGGTACTAGTTTTTGTCTCATAGAAAATAAACAAATAAAGGGGAAATGTTTTTGTTTCGTTTTTGCTTTTGAATGATTGACAAATATTAGATTAGACAAGTAAAACGAGTGATGGTAATTCCCACTTGACCAATGGCCTCTGAGTATTAAACGATAACGTTTAATGGCTAATGATAGGCACTGTGTCGATCAAAGAGATCCATCGTTTGTTTAGTAGGCTCTCAACTCTCAAATGTGAAACAAGTCGAGAGAAAAAAAAATGAAATTATTTTTGCTTACAGTGTTTGTTTTTTTATTTATTAATTTATCATTTTCAATTGATCAAAGAAAATTTGGACCATGGTTTCCAGCGACAGAAGGTGAACCATGGCCTGCACCGTGGAAAAGAATTATGGGAAATAATTCACTTATTTTACGACCATTAAGTTTCAAAATTGAGGTATGTTTTTATTACTCGAAAAATTATTAACTTATTATTATTATTTATTATAATAAATGAAAAAATTCTTTAATTTGATAATTAATTATCCAGACAACAAACAATGATTGTCCCATTTTGCAAGATGCCATTGAAAGATATAAATCGATAATTTTCGAAGAAGCAAAATCTGCTGCTCATTTAGTACAAGGAATAGAAAAACCAAATTCATCAATTTCTGGAATCATAACAGGAATGTTGATTCAAAAATTAAATAGTTGTGAATCGCAACCTTATTTTCAAATGGATGAATCATGTAAGTAAATAATAAATCGTAAATAATTGACATATTTTGCCAAAAAAATTCTTAAGCAAAATAATTGAAAATTTCTTCTTCTTAGATTCGTTAGAAATCACCGAAATATCAGATGTTGCAATTTTGAGTGCAAATACCGTTTGGGGAGCTCTTCGGGGTCTTGAAACTTTCACGCAATTATTGTCACCATCGGGACTGGGAGCTAGTGTAATTTATTTTTTAGAGAACATAATTAAATTTTTAAAAAAATTGTTCAATTTTTTCAAAAGTTTATTCTCTAAATTTGAAAACAATAAATTTTTTTTACAGCTAAAATTGACGTCTCAACAAATTTATGATAAGCCAAGAATGCCACATCGAGGTCTTCTTCTCGATACGTCACGTCATTTTATTCCAGTTGATGATATTCTCCTAATTCTCGATGGAATGTCTTATAATAAATTAAACGTTTTTCATTGGCACATTGTCGATGACAATAGTTTTCCCTATGAAAGTAATGTATTTCCCAAACTTTCCCTAAAGGGCTCCTATCATCCAACAATGATCTACAGTGCAAGTAATATTCGAAAAATCATTGATTACGCACGAATTAGAGGAATTCGAGTAATTCCCGAATTTGATACTCCTGCACATACTACATCTTGGGGACAGGGTCATCCCGAGTTACTCACAAAATGTTACGGTAATTGCGCATTCATTTTTTATAAATTACAAAAAGATGATAGAATAATAAAGAAAAATTAAATATATAGATAAAGATGGAAATTTGGATGGAACAACGGGTCCAATGGATCCAACAAAGCCTGCTCTTTATACATTTCTACAAAATTTATTTGAGGAAGTTGTGCAACTTTTCCCAGATAAATATTTACATGTGGGCGGTGACGAAGTGCCATTCGAATGCTGGGAAAGTAATCCTGATGTTCTTACTTTCATGAGGGATCACAATATTACGAAAAATTTCACAGCATTGGAAAATATTTTCATCAATAGACTGCTCGATATAACGTATGATTTGAATGTAAAAACTATTGTTTGGCAGGAGGTGATTGTTTTACTTTTATTAATTAAAAATACAAAAAAAATTGGATTTTTTAATAATAATGAAAATAATTGAATTCAATAACCATGATAGGTGTTCGATAACGGAGTGAAAATTCATCCTGGAACAGTTGTTCAAATTTGGACTGGAACTTGGCAAAGTGAAGTTTCCAGCGTCACTAGTGCCGGATTTCCAGTGATACTTTCCACGTGCTGGTATGTTTTTTTTATTTCGAGAAATTATGAGGAAAATTATGATAGGATTTTGAAGGAAAATTTACCTTGTTTCAAGGTACTTGGATCATGTTGCTGGTGGTGGTGATTGGCGAAAATATTATCTCTGCGATCCTCTCTCCTTTTCTGGATCACATGAACAAAAGAAACTTATGATGGGCGGTGAAGCTTGCATGTGGGCTGAATTCGTTGATCGGTAATAATTATTTATCACAAAAATATTATTCAAACAATTTTGTTTCCTCATTTATATTTAAAAAAATTTTTTTTAAATGTTTTCTTGAACAAATTTTAGTAAAATTTATTTTTATATCAGTTCTGATATATTTTGACAAGTTTTTACATGTAAACTGCATCTATGGACTTGAGAAACTTTTACTACATAATATTACATATTTATTTCTTGACTTTTTCAAAAATCATAAAAGTTTGGAAAAAACGTGACTTTTTTGTATAGTTTCAGCGGATCCAATATTATTTTCATAATTAATTTCTTTTTTTATATTATAATGATATGTTATTTATAACTTTGCAGAAACAACGTCCATTCGAGAATCTGGCCTCGAGCAAGTGCGGCAGCTGAACGACTTTGGAGTTTTGAAGTACAATCTCTGGACTATGTCTCGAGGCGTTTGGAGGAGCACGCTTGTCGCATGAACAAACGTGGTATTCCTGCTCAGCCTCCCAATGGAGCAGGTTTTTGTATTGTTTGATATATATTCACGCTTTTACAAAAAAAAAAAAAACATATTCCCCGCATTATAAAACCCTACTTTTTTTTCTTTGTCATTCTCGAAAACATATGAAAAATCAGTTTTTATTACTGATAGATTTCTGTTACAATCATAATAAAAGGTATCTTCTACTAAAAAGAATATTTTTTATTATAAATGTGGTAAAAAAAATTTCCACAATAAAAATAAAGAAAAATTATTTTTCACTTTATGATGATGTAATTTTTTCTAAAAAAATATACAATATAGAGCAGAAAGTATGTCAGTATTACCTTCAGGATATTTGTTCTACTTCGAGACTCACATGTAATAGATTAAAATTTTTTTTTTTTGCACAACTTTTGAGATGTTTTTTAGTAATTGTTAATAAAATTTGATATCGGTAATTTGTCCTTATTTATCTTTTTCCATTCCCTGAAAAGGAAATTTAATAAAACATATTTTTTTCCAATATGATTTCCTGAGGAAATTAAAAATTATAAACAAAAAAATAAAAAACTGTGTCTTATTTTTGTGTTTATTATTTAGAGTTTGTATTTATTTATTTAGAGTACAAAATGTATTTTTTGAATAATTTTTGAAAATCATTCAAAAAATATTAAAATTTTGAATTCAAAAATTCTTGAGGGAAAATTCTTTTTGGTTGCAAGTGAAAATATATCATAACGAAACGTGATAAAGTGTCGCCAGTGAATATAAAGTAAGTACATACGCTACATGACGACTTAGAACCTGTGTGGTCGATACTCGACTCTCGTAAAGAGCTAAGTCTGACTCTAAACTCAGAGAAAAGGAAAGATGAATGATCCTTGAAAACATCTCCAATATAAAACTTATATCACAGTAAGAAATTTACAAGAACAATTAAAAAAAATCTATTCAATGTCAAATTTTGAATTAATTTTTTTTAACTCTTTGCAAAAAAATTTCTATTGTTTTCAATTGCTTTTTAGGTTTTTCAATTATCTTATCAATTTCTTGTTCAAGATTTATTTTTTATTCTTCTATTTCAAGGTTATTCATTTTTTTGTCGTTTTTATTTATTTATTTATTTATCTATTTATAGTCTAAACGGGGCTCACAAATAAAAAATACCCTTTCATACATAAATATAAAAAAGGGAAATTTTTTTTAAAATTTGAATAACGTAAATTATTCCTGAAAAAGAAAAAATTGTTTTTCCAGCTTTTAATTTATTTAATTACAATGAAATTTGCTTTCTATAAAATATCAATCTTGGTATAAAAAAAATGTTGATAAAATTTTCATTAAAAATAATTGCACTTTTCAGTATAGAATAAGATAAATGGTTTCATCTCCTTTTTCTCATTCTTTGTCATTAAATATTAAAGTTGAGAAATAAAAATTTCAAAAAAAAGTCAACTTGACTTTTTAGAACTTTCTTCTATAAAGAAAAGTCTTGTACATATTATTTTATTTCAGCGAAAAGTTTTTCCAAGCTCTAAAATAAAGAGAGGAGAATTTATATAATAATATAAAAAGCCAAGTCGATATAAAAGTCCAGTTTTGCAGTTTTTTAACTGCCCATAAAATCGTGCTTGTATAATACGTGCGTGACTTTATTGCTTGTCATACATGATCTTTCATAATCGACCTCTTGATAATCAGAGTTAGTGACTTTCAACCCATGCAAGCACAAATATACTTTGCTTTTAATTTTTTTATATCTAAACCAAAAGAAAAAATTAATTAACATTTTTTATATTTTTTTTTATTTTATTTATTTCTTCTTCATTATTTAATATTATTATTGTTTATTGTTTATTATTATTAATAATAAATTAAAAAGTTAATAAATAAATTTAATAAATGAAAATAATTATTATTGAAAATTTTATAATAATTTTATTAATTAATTATTAATTTTCTTCTTATTATTTAACAATAAAAAATTACATCTCTGAATATGGTTAACTGGCTGATAATGACAGCAGTTTGGTTATATTGTTTTTTTTACGTTCTTTCTGTAACTTAATCAACAATAATTTCCTTTTCGTAATTAGTGTAGCCTATTGCATAATTAGCAAAAAAATTATTGCACCATTTATTTTTCACATTTAATAACCCAAAAAAGGTAATTTTGAAAAAAACAAAAAAATAGTTCAATATAATTTTTCTTTTAATTATTAACCTTGTTTTTCTCTCTCATAGAAAATTATCGCGAGACTGTTTATACCAATCATATAAAAGATTTTATAAAATTGGAATTAGGAATTAAAAATTTCAAAGAAAATATCTAAATTATGACCACTCAAACATTGAAGCGTAATTGCAAAAATCTTTTCACAAATTCCGGAAGGTTATGTACATTGGAGAGAAATATTCCAAAAATCAAACTTACGCCACGAGATAAATCCAATGATCGTTTATCACCATCACCGAGATTAAAATCATTTCCACCGGAGAAAATCAATAGAATAAAGGAAAATGTTTTATTACCATCAACAAGAACGGAAAATGTATCTCCTACAAGACAAAATATTGGTCATGGAGATGCTGCAAATATTCAGGAAAAATTACCAATAACATCAAACCAAGAACTGATTAAAAAAACTCCAAAAAGTCATAAAATAACCTATTTTTATCCCACTGAGAATTGTTACCAATCAGAAGGTATTCTAACTTCGCAAAAAAATGTCAATCCCCTTCTAACTCATCGACTTTTTACTCCTAATTCTTTTTCTGAATCGTCACCAAGAAACAAAATCACACCAAGACCAATTGTTTCTCATCTTCCAACTCACCGGGACAATATTCAAAAATTTCCTCATTTCGAACAAGAAATCGTCAAGGCTGATGACAATTGTCAAAAAACTGTCAAAAATCACGAAAATGTAAACCAAGAAATTGTAAAAAAAGAAATTGTATCTGAAAAATATAAGGAAACTTTAAGAGAAGATGACAAAATTCCAAGTGGAGAACATGACAAAATTGAAAAAACAGAACAAAATCAAGAATTTGTTTCTGATAATTTTAAAACTGAAACAAACTACGAGAAACAACCAATTGGTGGACGAGTTGCAGCTGTTTATCGAGAATCATATTTGAAAGAGAATTACAATTTACAAAAAGAATTTGCTCCCAAAAAAATGAGGCAACAAGTGATGCAACAATTGCCAATATCAGCTCCAGTGTTTCAACGTGATTCAATTCAATCGAATAATTTTCCAAATAAATATCCAATTCCATTGCGAATGGAAAATATTAAACAACCAAATCATCAACAAACGGATCATCAATTACATAATTGTCAGCAACATGATTCTGTATTGAATCAAAATCATCAACAACAAAAGGAATCTTATTTTTACAAACCTAATTTTCATTCCGGAATGACATCACCGCAGGATTTTTCCATTAATCGTCAGAAGTATTTTCAACATTGTCAACAGAGTTGTAATAATTTTCAAGCGAACCCTAGTAATTCTCAAACAAGCCCTAATAAGTTTCAAGTAAACCCTAATAATTTTCAACCGAACCCTAACAGTTTTTATTCCAACCCTAATAGTTTTCATCCGAACCCTAGTAGTTTTCAAATCCCTAATAATTCTCAAACAAACCCTAATAGTTTTCAAGCAAACCCAAATAATTTTCAAGCGACTCCAAACAATTTTCAATTTCTTCACAATGATAAACATTCACAAGATCATTCGAATAATTATCATTTTCCAATGAATCGTAATGACAGAACACAATACACTTCATTTGCCATGGATTTGGTAAATCCACAATTCAACCACTCTCAAGCTGAGGCAGAAAAAAGTCAACAAATTGTACCAAATAATTATACACAAAATAATCAGCACTCCAATCAGAATAAATCCACATTAAAATCTCCAGATGTACAGCAGCAGAATAAAACGAGTAGTAAAGTTTATTACTTCACGCCACAAATGCTGAAGGATCAGGAATTACTTTTAAACACAATGCAACAGCAACAATTCCCCGAGGATGTGATGATGAGACAATTTCAATTGTTGCTCATTGAGCAAAAGAAACAGCTCAATTATTTAGAAAGTTTATCAGAAAATGAAGGGAAAATTATTCAGAGGCAGCGGAATAATGTTTCAAGGAAAATTACAAGAAACACCGTTGATGAAAAACCCGAATGGATGGAGCATATAACTCCACCGAGGATAACTTACTGCGAAATGGAGAAAATCAAATGCTATGGATTCGAACCTAATTGGAATGAGCAAAATTTTCAGAATCAGCAGAAAATACAGAATTATCATAGAGATCAGCATCTGAATCGGATACATCAGCTTGAGGATCAGAAATGCCAGTGTCTACTGCCACAGAAATACCAGTGGATTCATCAACAGAATGATGATTATCGTTCGCCTCAGGTTTGTTGCGACCCAAAATTTTTATTATAACAAAATTAACAGGGTCATAAATATAGTATAAATATTTTTAGGTTCAAAATCAAGGTAAAAGTCATCAGGAGATGGAGATGGGTGATCAACGGTCAGAAATACCGGTTTCAAATTTGGACCAGGAGGTGTATCATCGGCAGATGCAGGATTGTTTACATAATTTGCAGCAACAATCTTCAATGCATCAACAACCACTAGTTCAGAATGATAAATCGTTCGTACCACACCAGAAATCTTTGGTACCACAACACCAATTTTTTGAACCACATAAAAAATCACTGGTACCACATCAGCAATCGTTAATACATAAAAAATCAGCAGTACCACATCAGCAGTCGTTAGTACAACATCAAAAACCAATGATACCACAGCAGCAATATTTGGTAGCACATCAGAAATCACTGGTACCTCAGCACCAATGTCTGGTACCACATAAAAAATCCCCACAGCAACCACTAATACCACAACAACAATCGTTAGTAAATCAAAAATCACTAATGGTACCAAATCAACAAGCATTTTTGTATCAACAATCATTGGTCCAACATCATCAGCCTCCAGCACCAGATCATCAAACTTATATTCAACAACAAAATTCATGGATAAATCACTGTTCATGTTCGAATAATAATCATCATCACACAGTGAAACAAAATTCTACAACAATGCCATCAGTTCCATTAAAATTTGATGAAAATTGTTCAACGGGAGAAAATTTAAATTCAGTGGAAGCTTCCAGTTTATTGCGGCTTCGTTACCACAAGGAAATTGTGCAACCTCAGCAACGAAACAATGGTCTACAAGATGCAGACACGATAAAGGAGGCGCTAGAGGCATTGACAAAGTCGGATACCAGAAAAGGGTTCGAGTACTTGGTGAATTTGAATAAAAAGGATTCGATCATTAAATTGAATGGCACTCAAGAACCGGGAGTGATACCAAAAGATTTTTTACAAAAACCATTGCATGAAAAAATAATGAAAAATGTTTCTGCCAATGGTTTAGAGAATCAACGGAATCCAAATAATCCATTGCCACCTTTGAAAATAAAAAATTTTGATAATCAATTAATGGAATATCCACGATCGAAAAAAGCGTCTTATGTTACCAATAACACTGATGTTCCGGAAAATGAGAATCGACAATATCAATGTTTTCAAGAAAATTATATTCAAAATCAATTTCCCATATCAGATATTATTATTCAGCATCCACATTATATTGATAATGAACATGTAAAAGAATCTGCAATTTGTGAAAATGTAAGATCACATTTTGTACGTTACGAAAATTCAATGAATGAAATTCAAGAACCAAGAATTATTGGAGGTTTCACTTATCTCGCGAGGAAATCAAATTCTATTCCATCATAGTTCTCATGTTGTCGCTGAAAAATTTCACCGAGTAAAAATTGTTTATTCGCGGAAAGGAAATTTAATTTTTATTTTAAAATTGTAGTGTTTGTTTATAAAATTTGATACAAACGGAACATATTTTTTTGTATCGTTTTTAATTTTTATAAACAATGTTTTTTATGGATCAAACTTTTTTAATTGTAATAAAAAAATAATGTTTAATTTTTCTGAAAAATAAATTTTATTTCAGAGAAAAAAGAAATGGTTGTATATAATTTTTGTTATTAAATTATTGTTCAAAAATTTCTGTATAATGAAAACAAAGTTTTGTTATAAAAATACGTTAATAGTTGATAACTTCATAGTTGATTCTTAAAATTCAAACTGTCAGTATTATTATGTTAAAAAAATATTAACTTTCAAAGGAAATGGAACAGAATAGAAAGGAATTTAATTTCTTTTCTCCTAATTCAAAAAATGTTAATGTCGTTGATCTTTTTAAGATATTAGACGAAAAAATAAAATCGGATCAAACAGTGAAAAATCAAGATGAAACCGAACCGGTAAAGATACATAAAATTTTATCTTTATTATTATTATTGTAAATAATTTAAATCAAAATAATTTTCTAATCAAGAATTAAATATTTAAAAATAAAATTTTTTATTATCTTTACAAATAAAAAAAAATAAAAATAGAATAAAAAGTATATAACATAATTTATATAATTCTCAGATCTTTTTGTCTCCGTCTGAATATCTCAGGCAAATGACAATGACTACTGAACAGAGAGCGGATTATTTGATAAAAAATTGTCAAAAACTTGATATTAATTCAATAATAAATGCACGGAAAGCAATTTCTTTTCAAGCAACACCTAATATTTTGATATTTCAACAAACACATGTCAATGAAACGTATTCCATCTCCTTTCTCATTCAAAATGTATCCAAGGCATGTATCTAATTTTTTTTAAATAATATAATAATTTTTCAAATTTTTCAAATATTATATCATTCGACACCATTAGGTTCCAAAGTATGTAAAAATGATTTCTGAGCTCGATCCCTCATTTCAAATAGGATTTAAAGGAAATACTTTGAACACGAGATTGGCCCCGGGAATGACATTATCTTACGAAGTGAAATTTTCTCCAGATGAAAAAAGAGACTACGTTTATGAAGCAGTATTCGTTTCTGATAATGAAATTCTTACAGTGCCAATGATTGGTAAAAAAAATAATTTAATTATATCACGATGGATAAAAAAGTTAATTATTAGTAAAAAGTATTTCGATTTAAATGAAAAGCCATTGGACCGAGAGCAATTTTGGACTTTCCCGATCGAATCGAGGTTCCATCGACAGCAGTAAAGATTTCATCTTCGAAAACTGTTTTGGTTCGAAATATTGGAAATATGCCAGCTTTGTTCAGTCTATATTCTCAAGAGTATGTAAAATACTTTTACATTTTGTTTTTTTGTCTATAAAACTTTTAATTTGACTTAAAATACACTATTTTTTTCATTTCCCCAATTTTTTTTAAATTCAAAAAAATGTACCTAAAGGGACTCTTTTCACAAATTTTTTTTTATTACAGTCCGAGATTCAATGTAACTCCAACACAGGGCATGATAGAAGAAGAGGAAATGATACAGTTTACGGTGAGTTTTATCTCAAACAGAACGGGTGACTTTGAGTCGAAGCTCTACCTCAAATACGAATCAGGTAAAAAGGAAAAAAAATTTTCTTCTTTACTACTTCTACTGATGCACGGAAATCGAATCGTCTAAATCAGTTTAAAGAAATTGACTCTCTTTCGTTTTAAATAAAATAAAAAAAAAAGGTGAAATCGTACGCCTCAACTTGCAAGCATCGGCAGTCAACTGTAATATTCGTCTCGAGAGAGGAAGTCTACGAATGGAAGACACGTATTTTAGTATGTCAAGGTCTAAGCTTCTCGCTGTTCACAACAGAAGTGATCACATCGTCAAGTTCCGGTGGTTGAAATACAGTGATAGCGAGGAAGATGAAATACAACGAGAAAAGTACATATATATGTATATAACAAAGAGAAAATTCTCTTGAGAGCTAAACTTCTAAAAAAAAACCCTTAGAAACCACTTTCCTTTTATATATGAAAGCCAAACAAATTTACCAACTTTTCTTTTTTATTATTTAACTGTAAAGAATGTATTTTCCTCTTAAGGTAATTTTTATTTTTCAAGACAGTTTTATTAATATCTCCACTCCTCAGAAAAAAGACAATTTTTTTTCATTTAATTTTTACTATTTCAATTTTTATTTTTCTGTTTAGGAACATTCAAAGAGAGTTGAAGTAGGTTCAGTGTAGAGTAATGTAGGTTCAATGTAGGGCTTAGGTTTTATGATTAAAATATGGTCACGGCAGGTTGTATGTAGATTTAATGTAGGGTTAAAATATAATTAAGGTAGAATTAATTAAATAATTTATAATTTGTATGCATATTATTGCATGACCCATATAAATTATTTTCACTTAAAATATACATTAAAATTAAAAGCACTAAAATAATTATACAATTAAATATGCCAAGAAAATATCATCTTTTCAAGTTTTTTCTCTTTACAAAATCGAAAATCAATTTATTAACAAAGATGACGTTCATGAGAATATATTTTATATAACCCAAATGCATAATATAAAATAATGGGAAATTGATTGTCTGACCTAAATTGACTATTACTACTGGGAACTAAATATAATTATTAAAAATGTTCTTATTCACTTATTATTTAATGTTATAAATGTAATATGTTGTTAAATTACTCAAATTGATAAATGAAGAAAATTTGTTTCTCTCTCTCTCTCAAAAAAAAAAATAATAATAAACAACAACGAGATAAATTATAAAATAACTTTTGTCTGACTTGTACATATTTTTCTACTGAAAAATGAAATTTAAAAACAGTTAATTCAAAAGAAAATAATAAAAGAAAATTCCTTTCTCGAAAAAAAACAAATAAGTAAGAAAAGTAGAGAAATTCTGAAAGAACTTTTATTCTTGCTCTTATATACATATATATTTTTCGACTGAAAATAAAACTTGGAAATTTTGGATTAAAAAAAAAAAGAAAAGAAAATGTCAAGTTAGTTTTCTTTAATCAGAAATAAGAATGGAGATGAAGAATAAATTTGAAAAAGAGTATGTCTGACGTAAATAGCGTTATACTACTTGCAGAAAAATTTATTAAATTTCATTAAATTGTAAAAAAAGAGAGATGAAAAATATTAAAAACAATAAAGTTCTAGAAATTATATCAGGTTGTTTATTAAAAAGTTGAGAAATAGAACAAGATTTATTTAATTGTTAAAATTTATTTTAATTTTTAATTTTATTTCTTCTATTTTTCATTTTCTTTTTCATTGTATTTTTTAATTTATTTTTTTTACTTTTTTCAAAGTCAATAAATGTATATTAAATAATAATTTTAATTTCTCAAATAGATACAATGAATTTTCCAATCGTGTTGTTAAAATTAGTGAAATAAATCAATGCACTGAATTGGAATGTCACAAGATATATTTACCTGAAACACATAAAAAAATTTGTGAAAGAATTTACAAAGAGGAAATTTTTTCTCTCGTCAATGAAATATTTCCCTATAAAAATTTGAATTTTTTTCTCGATCCAATGGTAATTTTTTTTTAATATTTCAAATTTTTTCGCTATGGACAATCAATAAAGATAAAAAAAATTGCAAATACAAAAAAATAATTATTTATTTATATTTTATTTTCCAGGAGGGTGAAATTTGGCCACAAAGTTCACAAAATATAATGATTTATTTTCAACCAAGTGAAATTGGAGAAATTACAAGTGTTGCCTATTTGGAAATTAGTGGCCGTGAAGACAAACTTTCATTGAGGTAGTAAAATAAAAATAATACAATTTTTTTATAATCTTAAAAAAAACCTACCAATTGAACCTAAATTGCAATAGACTAAGAATAATCAATTTTATTCCATTTTTGCTTCCTCGTGGAGGAAACTTTGTAGTCCTTTCGATTATAAAACTTTTCAAAGTGGCGGAAACAAATTTTTTTCTTTATAGAAACATGTTATATGAGATGTGTGTGTGTGTGGATCCCTTTTTTGTTTAGAAGATAACTTTAACAGGTTTTAATGGATTTAGATAGAATTTAGTAGGCTCATTTATCATATTAATTTCTCAAATCTGACCAAAGGATTTTGAAAAATACTCAAAAAAAAAAATTTTATGGTCTTTTTTCCAAAAATTTTTTTTTAATCGAAAAAATTTTTAAATAGAAAAATTTAAGGTTATATATAATAAAATCGTATTCTTTACGTCAAGACGAATCGATCAATATATATAAAGTATTCATTTGAGGTAAATTTAAAGAATTAATGAAAGTTAAAAAATCAAAAATTCACATTTCGTCAATAAAATTTTGCTTTCTCCACGAGGAAGCAAATTTTTTTGCTGATCGTAAAGAGGAAGCAAAATGTTCATGTAATGAACATCTGAATTTACAACTTTTTGGTAAGTTTTTTATGCTTTTGGATGCGTTTTTGGTCATAAAAAGGGTCTTCCTCTACTCGGATCTGGGTGTCAATTTTTTTCTACACTTTTCGGTGTATTTTGTGCAAGAATATGCAATAAAATCTTCTGCCTAAGAAAAATTGAATTATTTTTGTTAGTTTTTTATGCTTTTGGATGCGTTTTTGGTCATAAAAAGGGTCTTCCTCTACTCGGATCTGGGTGTCAATTTTTTCTACACTTTTGGGTGTATTTTGTGCAAGAATATGCAATAAAATCTTCTGCCTAAGAAAAATTGAATTATTTTTGTTAGTTTTTTATGCTTTTGGATGCGTTTTTGGTCATAAAAAGGGTCTTCCTCTACTCGGATCAGGGTGTCAATTTTTTTCTACACTTTTCGGTGTATTTTGTGCTCAGCATCCGCTGGACCAATCAAAAAGTGCGCCATACAATTTTTGTTCAGAACTTTCTTCTAATCACTATGGCAGTATTCCCGAACGATTATCTAGCGAATTGAATTTTTTGAAAATTTTTCCGAATTTGTTTTCTAGTTTAGCTCAGCATCCGCTGGACCAATCAAAAAGTGCGCCATACATTTTTTGTTCGCTACTTTTTGCTAAAGAATTTGGCGGTATTCCCGAACGATTATGTCGCGAATTTAATTTTTCGAAAATTTTTCCAAAATATTTTTGAGTGTAGCTCAGCATCCGCTGGACCAATCAAAAAGTGCGCCATACATTTTTTGTTCGAAACTTTTTCCCTATTTTATTGGTGGTATTCGGGAGCGATTAACTCGCGAATTTAATTTTTCGAAAATTTTTCCAAAATATTTTTGAGTGTAGCTCAGCATCCGCTGGACCAATCAAAAAGTGCGCCATACATTTTTTGTTCAGAACTTTCTTCTAATCACTATGGCGGTATTCCAGAACGATTATCTCGCAAATTTAATTTTTCTGAATTTTTTCCAAATTTGTTTTCTAGTGTAGATCAGCATCCGCTGGACCAATCAAAAAGTGCGCCATACATTTTTTGTTCGAGACTTTTTGCTCAATTTTTTGGCATTATTCCCGAGTCATTATCTGGCAAATTTTTTTTTTCGAAAATTTTTCCCCAGTTTTAGTGAGTGTAGCTCAGCATCCGCTGGACCAATCAAAAAGTGCGCCATACATTTTTTGTTCGAGACTTTTTGCTCAATTTTTTGGCATTATTCCCGCGTCATTATCTGGCAAATTTTTTTTTTCGAAAATTTTTCCCCAGTTTTAGTGAGTGTAGCTCAGCATCCGCTGGACCAATCAAAAAGTGCGCCATACATTTTTTGTTCGAAACTTTTTCCCTATTTTATTGGTGGTATTCGGGAGCGATTATGTCGCGAATTAAATTTTTCGAAAATTTTTCCAAAATATTTTTGAGTGTAGCTCAGCATCCGCTGGACCAATCAAAAAGTGAACCATACATTTTTTGTTCGAGACTTTTTGCTCAATTTTTTGGCATTATTCCCGAGTCATTATCTAGCAAATTTTTTTTTTCGAATATTTTCCCCAGTTTTAGTGAGTGTAGCTCAGCATCCGCTGGACCAATCAAAAAGTGCGCAATACATTTTTTGTTCGAGACTTTTTGCTCAATTTTTTGGCATTATTCCCGAGTCATTATCTGGCAAATTTTTTTTTTCGAAAATTTTTCCCCAGTTTTAGTGAGTGTAGCTCAGCATCCGCTGGACCAATCAAAAAGTGCGCCATACATTTTTTGTTCGAGACTTTTTGCTCAATTTTTTGGCATTATTCCCGAGTCATTATCTAGCAAATTTTTTTTTTCGAAAATTTTCCCCAGTTTTAGTGAGTGTAGCTCAGCATCCGCTGGACCAATCAAAAAGTGCGCCATACATTTTTTGTTCAGAACTTTCTTCTAATCACTATGGCGGTATTCCCGAAGGATTATCTCGCAAATTTAATTTTTCTAAATTTTTTCCGAATTTGTTTTCTAGTTTAGCTCAGCATCCGCTGGACCAATCAAAAAGTGCGCAATACATTTTTTGTTCGCTACTTTTTGCTAAAGAATTTGGCGGTATTCCCGAACGATTACGTCGCGAATTGAATTTTTCGAAAATTTTTCCAACATATTTTTGAGTGTAGCTCAGCATCCGCTGGACCAATCAAAAAGTGCGCCATACATTTTTTGTTCAGAACTTTCTTCTAATCACTATGGCGGTATTCCTGAGGGATTATCTCGCGAATTTAATTTTCCTAAATTTTTTCCGAATTTGTTTTCTAGTTTAGCTCAGCATCCGCTGGACCAATCAAAAAGTGCGCAATACATTTTTTGTTCGCTACTTTTTGCTAAAGAATTTGGCGGTATTCCCGAACGATTATGTCGCGAATTTAATTTTTCGAAAATTTTTCCAAAATATTTTTGAGTGTAGCTCAGCATCCGCTGGACCAATCAAAAAGTGCGCCATACATTTTTTGTTCAGAACTTTCTTCTAATCACTATGGCGGTATTCCCGAAGGATTATCTCGCAAATTTAATTTTTCTAAATTTTTTCCGAATTTGTTTTCTAGTTTAGCTCAGCATCCGCTGGACCAATCAAAAAGTGCGCAATACATTTTTTGTTCGCTACTTTTTGCTAAAGAATTTGGCGGTATTCCCGAACGATTATGTGGCGAATTGAATTTTTCGAAAATTTTTCCAAAATATTTTTGAGTGTAGCTCAGCATCCGCTGGACCAATCAAAAAGTGCGCCATACATTTTTTGTTCAGAACTTTCTTCTAATCACTATGGCGGTATTCCCGAACGATTATCTCGCAAATTTAATTTTTCTAAATTTTTTCCGAATTTGTTTTCTAGTTTAGCTCAGCATCCGCTGGACCAATCAAAAAGTGCGCAATACATTTTTTGTTCGCTACTTTTTGCTAAAGAATTTGGCGGTATTCCCCAACGATTATGTCGCGAATTTAATTTTTCGAAAATTTTTCCAAAATATTTTTGAGTGTAGCTCAGCATCCGCTGGACCAAGCAAAAAGTGCGCCATACATTTTTTGTTCAGAACTTTCTTCTAATCACTATGGCGGTATTCCCGAAGGATTATCTCGCAAATTTAATTTTTCTAAATTTTTTCCGAATTTGTTTTCTAGTTTAGCTCAGCATCCGCTGGACCAATCAAAAAGTGCGCAATACATTTTTTGTTCGCTACTTTTTGCTAAAGAATTTGGCGGTATTCCCGAACGATTACGTCGCGAATTGAATTTTTCGAAAATTTTTCCAACATATTTTTGAGTGTAGCTCAGCATCCGCTGGACCAATCAAAAAGTGCGCCATACATTTTTTATACGCTACTTTTTGCTAAAGAATTTGGCGGTATTCCTGAGGGATTATCTCGCGAATTTAATTTTTCGAAAATTTTTCCGAATTTGTTTTCTAGTTTAGCTCAGCATCCGCTGGACCAATCAAAAAGTGCGCAATACATTTTTTGTTCGCTACTTTTTGCTAAAGAATTTGGCGGTATTCCCCAACGATTATGTCGCGAATTTAATTTTTCGAAAATTTTTCCAAAATATTTTTGAGTGTAGCTCAGCATCCGCTGGACCAATCGAAAAGTGCGCCATACATTTTTTGTTCAGAACTTTCTTCTAATCACTATGGCGGTATTCCCGAACGATTATCTCGCAAATTTAATTTTTCTAAATTTTTTCCGAATTTGTTTTCTAGTTTAGCTCAGCATCCGCTGGACCAATCAAAAAGTGCGCCATACATTTTTTGTTCGAGACTTTTTGCTCAATTTTTTGGCATTATTCCCGAGTCATTATCTGGCAAATTTTTTTTTTCGATAATTTTTCCCCAGTTTTAGTGAGTGTAGCTCAGCATCCGCTGGACCAATCAAAAAGTGCGCCATACATTTTTTGTTCGAGACTTTTTGCTCAATTTTTTGGCATTATTCCCGCGTCATTATCTGGCAAATTTTTTTTTTCGAAAATTTTTCCCCAGTTTTAGTGAGTGTAGCTCAGCATCCGCTGGACCAATCAAAAAGTGCGCCATACATTTTTTGTTCGAAACTTTTTCCCTATTTTATTGGTGGTATTCGGGAGCGATTATGTCGCGAATTAAATTTTTCGAAAATTTTTCCAAAATATTTTTGAGTGTAGCTCAGCATCCGCTGGACCAATCAAAAAGTGAACCATACATTTTTTGTTCGAGACTTTTTGCTCAATTTTTTGGCATTATTCCCGAGTCATTATCTAGCAAATTTTTTTTTTCGAATATTTTCCCCAGTTTTAGTGAGTGTAGCTCAGCATCCGCTGGACCAATCAAAAAGTGCGCAATACATTTTTTGTTCGAGACTTTTTGCTCAATTTTTTGGCATTATTCCCGCGTCA